GGGGCATGTCCATCAATTTCCAGATGCGGGCTTCACGACGTGGACCATGCACCCTCGCCGTGGACCGTTCTGTGTACCCGGAGGCCGTGGAGGACATTCGTATTTTCTCGTGGTGTCGCACGGTATTCCCAAGGGCCCACCGGTCTGTGGAGTCCATGGTCCCCCGAATTCACGAACATCGCGGTGCACCGTTTCAACATGAGGTCCTCCCACTCCTCCTCCAAAGAGGCCATGCTCGATGGATCCATGGCGATTTCGTTACCGTGATAGCGACGTCATCAACCCGTGTACACCACCTGTTCTGGCCATGTCGACCGCACAACCTTCACGAACCCGTGCGACTCACCAAACCGTCCTCCTTCGTCCCTAGCGATGGCTCCCCGTAAGTGCTCCTGTGCTTAGTGCACTCCGGCTACCAATGGTTTGGATGGCACCTCCCACCAACGGCAGGGAAGGACATCTGTGACGAGCTATTTTCTGTGTCGTGCGACTTTTCGCGTGAGGTTGATGAGGGGTCTCGGGAAGGTGCGGTCGGGCAAAGTGTGGGAGACGGGGTCGACGGGGCATATTGCATGGGTATCCTCGCTTTTTCTTTTCTCTCTTCTATGATGTCGGGCCAGGGTCGGGGAAGTCCCGGGCGGACGGTTGAGGAGGTGCGCCATGACAGGCGTAGTCAATAACGGTTGTCATGGGTTTTTTCTTGTTCTACTGGGGTGAAGGGGAATGAGAATTTTGGCGCGATGACCGCGCGGGAACATCGTTTTTCTTTTTCGAAATTTTCTTTCAACTGATGTCGAGCCCCTGTAGGCTCCTCGGAATTGTTTTTCAAATTTTTCCTTCGTCGAAATTTCTTTTTCTGCAATTCGGATTTAGATAGGAACTTAGGAACTTTGAAATTTTTGCTGCGCTGTGTTTCTTGCTTGCGCGCGCCTTCCCGCGGCGGTAGCGGAGTTTTGACTGAGTGGCGCCCTTAATCTCGCGTGTAACTGTAACTTTTGGCGGGCTCGATTGTAACTGTATGCCTCTTCTTGATTCTCTCGCCTTCTTCCCGCCTCCTTTCTTCCTGCTATGCATGCGCCCTCCTACGATCTGATTGGCCAAGACGTTGCATGCTCAGATCAATGCGTGGAGAGTGGCTACGTCCACCACGTCGCGGCCTGGCCATGCAGAACGTAGGCACTTCCTTTCTCCACCCCACCTTCTCGATAGCGCAATCCCGTATCTGTTGCGCACGTGTGCACGCTATAAATCTTGCGAGCGCGATTAAAGCTCTCTCTAAAACTTCGAGAAGTTCCAAAGGTTAGTGCGATTAGTGAGGGCCGACTAAAGTGCAAGTGAAGAGGTGAGTTGATGTGGGAGTTGGGCGACCCGACGAGCCGGTGCCGAGTATGCGGGGTTGACGTGTGGGCCACGACGGACTGTAGTGCACGGGCGAACCTGGCTTGCGTACGTGGACCAAGCGGGGTGACAACTCCGTGAGTGATGCGAGATGACGGACTGTCCGCATCGGAGAAAGAGAGAGAGACAGAGCGTGGGGAACAGACGGGTGTGAAATTGCGACCTTCCTTTTCCTGTCCTTTGTATGAAGTTTTGTTCTCGGGCGAAACACCATCGTTTTCATCTCTGATCCAATTCCTTTTGTATCTTGGTGTGCTGATCTACTCTCCCTTCTCCTCTTTAATGACTGTTGATGGTCGGGAATTAAAATGTCTAGAGTTGTTGGATGTATGCGCCAACCTGCGCCTCGTCTTTGCATGAATGAATGCATGCATGTACGAGGAGTCGACGAACGCATCACTGAATGGTTGCGTTGTGCGTCGGGGAAAAGTTGTGAGATTACCATTTGATTTCTTGTTGATGTGAATGAATGGAGTATGACTCTGTCGAAAGCATGGATGTCCTGGTTGGTGAGCGATTGCCTTCTGTTGTGCATGACATGGGTTTTTACTTGGATTAGATGATCGCACGTCGGACTTTTGAAGGACCACAGGAGACACCCAGAAACGGTCCTATCGGCCGTAGGCGCGATCTCGAGTGCCCACGTGTAAGTGCGACGTCAGGGCGAGGCTTACACGCGTGTACACGAGACCCGCCCGCGGAAGCCCATGATGGAATCAACCCTTCCCCGCCGGTATGGACGTTGAGACCCCCTTTTACGTCACGGATCGCGAGAGTCTGAGGCATCGGCGATTCCGGGAACGTTGGGAACGAGAGTGTGCCTATCAGGCCGCGCGACCCCGGGCCCCATTTCCGGAATTTCCTTACCACACTGCAAGGGAGCGCGTATGTGAGTGGGACATCGAATGGGCCTTAAGTGCGATCCCCTTTTTGCCCCAATTTCCCCACTCGCATACACACCACGTCATCGTTGAACCTGGGATAGCCATCGTCGAGACTAATTACCCTCCCTACCGCCTCGTAATCCCCTTTCACTGCCTTACAACGGTCCCTTGGTGCGTGATCGACCCTTACTGGCCACAGACCCTGTGCTCAGAGTGCCAGCAAAACCGCGCTTACCTCACGGCGGGAATGGTTCGCTGAACTCGGACTGAGGCAGACCAGCGATCTCACAGGGTCTGTGGCCACATGAGATCTCAGTTCTGACCTTGGACTCCACTACAATTTCCAAAAATCCTTGGCACACCCCTTTTCGCACTTCCGGGCCCCCATCCCACTCCGAACAGGAAGCCGCGCTAGGCGTGAGGTTGGGCGTCACACATCCACCCACGCCCCGAACGATAATTTCCCGTTGCTTGATCGGACCCGCTTGGGCCGCACAGCAACGCACGACACTTGTGCGGAACCCGCCACACCGGGTCATGCACGGCCACACACGGACTTGTCCTGGAGCAGTGCGGTACCTGGCCATGATCCACAACACTCGCCCGACTTGCCTTTTCGAGAAACACCCTTCGGTGTTTCCTATTCGGGTATGCCATGCCTTTTCCAGTGCCGAAACTATCAGTCTGCGGTGGGGTCCCTTCAAAATGCGTCAAGTTTTTTCCAACCACGGTCGGCCGTTTTTTGTGGCCAATACTAGTTTCCAGCCGTCGGGCAGTGGGTCCAAGCCATACACGAAATCAGATGGATCCCGGGCCCCAGTGGTCTGGCCTGCACATGGTGCATTCTGGGCCTGAGTCCGCCAGGATGCCCTATTCACGTTCTTCCATTTTTTTTTATTTTTATTTTTTAACTAACCTATATTCTTCTCTCAATGTACCTCCCACCACCTACCTACTCACCTCTTAGCAACTGGGAAGGCCAGTCTCTTAGGCCTGGACCCACTGCCCGGCGACTGGAAACTGGTGTTGGCCACAAAAAACGGCCGACCTGGTCCGACCGTGGATGGAAAAAACTTGACGCATTTTGAAGGGACCCCACCGTAGACCGATAGTTTCGGCACTGGAAAAGGCAGGACATACCCGAATAGGAAACCACTGAAGGGTGTTTCCGGAAAAGGCAAGTAGGGCGTGTGCTGTGGACCATGGCCTGGTACCGCACTGCTCCAGGACAAGTCCGTGTGTGGCCGTGCGCGACCCGGTGTGGCGGGTTCCGCACAAGTGCCGTGCGTTGCTGTGTGGCTCGAGCGGGTCCGCTCAGGCAACGGGAAGTTACCGTTGGGGGCGTGGGTGGATGTCCCTCCTTGTCGTTGGTGGGAGGTGCCATCTGAACCATTGGTAGCCGGAGTGCACTGAGCACAGGAGCACTGGCGGGGAGCCATCGCCGGGGACAAAGGAGGACGGTTTGGTGAGTAGCACGGGTTCATGAAGGTTGTGCGGTCGACAGGGCCAAAACAGGCGGTGTACAGGGTTTGACGACGTCGCTGTCACGGTAACGGAATTGCCATGGATCCATCGGGCATGGCCGCTTCGGAGGAGTGGGAGGACCTCATGTTCATGTTGGTTCTCCTGCAGACCCAGTGGTGAACAGGCATAACGCGGCGGCCATGGCTGGCCGTCATCCGAACCCCGCCAAAAATTCGAATTTCAAACGGTGCACCCTGGCGTTCGTGAATTCGGAGGACCATGGACTCCATAGACCGCCGGGCCCTTGGAAATACTGTGCGACACCATGAATGATCCTGAGTAACCATGAATGATCCTGAAATTAGGGTTTCGGGGTCGAATTTTGTGGTTTTTTGGAATTTTTTGTTTTGCCTGTTTTTGTTTTTGGACAAGCTTGCTGTGTGTCAAATTTGGTGTCATTTGGGTTATTAGAATTTGTGCTGTTGATCATCCTGAAAATCCTGAAATTTCGATGAAATGTTTTTTTGGCAAAAATGCCTGAAAATGCACTTTTGAGGTGTTGTTTTATGTGTTTTTAATTATTATTTTTTTGGTTTTTTTTAATAATATGTTTGTAAGAAGTGCACTCTTTACATTGGTGTGGAGTTTGCTTGAAATGGCCTAATGGTTTGCTTATAAATTGAGGTGAAAAATGGGGGTTCGGTTAACCGTCTCTCCCATGCCGTGAAGCCCGCGTCTGGAAACTGATGGACATGCCCCCCCCCCTGCTCAACTGGCCACCTCCTTGGAAAGGGTCTGGAAACCGGTCCGCGTTGAATTTCCAGACCGCGGACCATGTAGAAACGCCCCTTCACCATTTCGGCAAACTCTTTCCAAGCGCAGTGGGGTCTGGAATTCCTTTCCGGGCCGGCTTTCCACACTGGTTTCCAGACCCAGTGGGGTCTGCAAAAAAACCCCGGCGCCCAAACTTTTCCAGGCCGCCGGCCTGTGGGGTCCACACGTTAGGATATTTATCTGAGACAGTCTACGACGAAGTCCTAGATCTCTCTACTCTACGCGGGGGGTAGCACCCAAGCTCCTAACACCTGGCGCAAGCTGGAAAGCCAACCAGGAGGCCCAAACCAGTCATCTCAGCTGGAGAACCCGAAGCGCATCACAGGAGGCCGTGGGATGGAACGGACGACACAGGGAATCGAACCCACGATTTATGAGTGTCATCCTTGCGCAGGGGCCATGCTAATCTTCTTTCTCTGTATCGTTCCAATTTGAACGGATCTCCCGACGGACCTATTCACGTTCTTCGCCCGTAGCCCGCCGCTGAACTACACGAAATGATATGGGTCCCGGGCGCCCCCGTGGTCTGGCCTACGCTTGGTGCATTCTGGGCGTCAGCGGAGAGGTGACCGCGCCATCTCATCTCTCTCGGTTCCACTGCGGGAATGGAAGATGTCGTTGTTCGTCAAGACCGCGTCGCCATAGCTCCAGTAGACAGATGAGATCGTTCCACAGAGCCTTAAGAGATACGAACCTTGGCGAAGGCATTTCTTGAATTTTCTTCCCTCCTCCGTCTTTGCTGTCCCTTCTTGCTCAGCTTTGTCTCCGTCTTAGGTCGCTCTAGTCCGACCACGTACCTGCTCGGTATCTGCAGTCGAAGCGTCCTCGAATCCCCTCGAGGGTGATCTTCTGTCATGGATGCGTTGCGCTCTGAGGCCGTACTCACACGCGAACATCCCGTGGTGTATCTGAGCCCGATTATGACCAGATTCCGTCAAAGTAGCGCGCATTTCAGTAAGCGCTAGGCTCGGGTGTACGGGATGAGGCATATAAAGCTCGGCTATATGCGCTGGTCGTATGTGCGGATAATAGGAGGAAGAAACGAGACTGGCGGCGGTCGAGACGGTGGATGACGAACGAAAAAGGCGGGTGGTTCGGGGTGTGAGTGTGATATATAGCAGGCTTTGTCTTTTCTTATGGAAGATAGTATTTTTTAATCTGTTGTATATTTTTCTTCTTTTCTTCTTTTCGTTAATCTTCCCTATTGTTGGGATTTTGCGTTTTGCGGGCCTACTGAATGGTTCCGTCTTTTGTACTATAGATATGGTAGAATGTTTGTTTTGTGAATGAGAATCTTGTCTGCTTCGATTCCGGTTGGCCTTGTCCCGTTATTTGGTCTATCTTAGGGAGGGATGGCGGTGCTTCATGTGGGATTGGTCATGTGGTTATCGTTCTGCACGCAAGTGTGTTTTGACATCCTGTTTGGTCTTGTCCCGTCGTTTGGCCTGTAGTTGCCGGGGGCGGTGTTTGCATGTGGGACTTGTCATCTACGATTGTGATTTAGGATTTGTTTTAATCTTGTCTGCTTCGATTATGTTTTGGGGCATCCTGGTTGGTTGTTTCCCGTTGTTCGGCCTTTTGAGCGCGGGACGGTGCTGGTATGTGGGAATCGTCATCGGCGATTGTCTTTTCTTTCTTTTTGGTTGTCACACTGGGATCGGAGCGTTTTTTGATTTTTTTGCAGACAAGCAAGAATGTTTTGACATCTCTGTTTTTGTTGCCCCCTGTTCTGTTTTATTTGGTTGTTCCCTTCCTCTTTTCTTTGCCTCTTCGCCTTTTGGCTGTGTGCAAGTGGGTCGATATGACACACGGGGGTGGGGCAGCCGCCGCTCAACCTACATCCACGTGGGCGGCCTTGTACGCAAGAGGTTCTGAACAGGGGGAGTTATAAGGAAGAAGATAAAAAACTGAATTCATTTTCTCTTTTTTTTTTTTTTTTTTCCGCATTTGC